CAAACATTTGACTAACGCAAACATTAACAATCATTTGTTCCTAAATTCACACGTAGCAAGGAATTCTAATTTAATTTTGTCCGGATTTAGCTGACGCACCCTGTATATGTTTTCTGAATTTAATATTATTTATTGTATACTATTATTATATTGTATTTGGTTTTATTAAAATCTTTTCTCGACAAACAATGTATTTTATTTCACAACATTCTTTAAGAGGATGCTGGAGTTCTGTTTTACCACATGAATGCTGTATTTTTCCTGACTTTTTTCTAACAAATACAGCTTTTTTCTGCCTGCATAGAATTAAAAATCCTTTCGCAGGATTAAAGAGCACACAAAAAGGGAATTCGCGTTGGTCGAAAAAAGTCGGAAAAATAAAGTTATTTATAACATTAATTTTTATTGACATACTCTTAGGATAACATGTCTTTTAGAGCTATCAATTTTAGCTTTTTATAAAAGTTTAACGATTTTAATACACCGAATAAGAGCAGCGCGAATTGCGGACTGCAGAATAGAATGTTATGGAACCATTAAAATTGGGCTGAAAAGTCTAATGTAAAAAATATTTTTGTCCGACTATTTTTACATACGTGTGCGTCCAATATCGGTATAACAGATGAAAAAATAACAAAAGATTAGTTCCAGGATAATATCAGAGAGGCGCTATACAATAATATGCGAATATATACACGCACCACACATACGCATACACAATACATTCATACTTAGATTATGACTTATGCCGATAATATCACTCTCATTTTTAGTTCCATCGAAATGATGGCGCTTTCGCGTCGGAGTTCGTCAGGCACTCCAGCATCCTCTTAAAAACTATTACATTTTTAATAAATTAAAAAAAAAATAATATTTTACCGTTTTAGTAATTTATTAATTATTTTGTATAAAACTTAATAAATTTTGTATAAAACTTAATAAATTAATAAAATTAAATATATAATATTAAAAATAAAAAATAAATACAGGATAGGAAATTAAATTAAAACATGTATAAACATATATCATCATGGATATGTTATATTTGAAGTAAATGCGATACATATCGTGATCAGCAAATGTTTAGATATAAAATAGGCTTTTAAAATTTACAATTCGGAGTTTCAACAACGATATAATTTGCGAAAAAATATAATTAGAAACTATAAACTATAAACAGCTAACTATAAACTATATGAAAACTATAACATTATTATAATTAACACTATATAAACTATATAACTATATAAACTATAATTAACACTAATAAACATTAAACATTTCGCAAGAGCACAAATATACAAAATTCTAATAGAATGCTTTCCTTAATAGAAGAAAAGCTCTTTTCCAATTAGGAGAAATATTGTTGCACGAACTCTTGGCGAAAAAGATTGTGACCAGATTGTACTGATTCTTTGGAATTCAGTACA